CTTTTGAAGAGCTTTTTTTCTGAAATTCCGGATGGTAATCCCAACGTGTGCCTTTTCCTGATGTCATCTGACACCTGCTCGTCTGAGCTCTCTCTACAAGATAGTATTTCAGGCGTTTCTAAGATAGTTCCGAGCATTTTTTGCAGAATGTGTTGAAATGTCAGTGAAAGACTTGGTCGCCCCGCCTCTGCCCACTCTCCCAACCCTTCCACAACCACCTTTGCTCCGGCTTTTCCTTACGTTCTCCATTTCAGTGTTTATTTTTCAGCATGGTTCTATCTTTCCATCATAATTATCGTCAGTATCGGCACGTTCCTCACCAGCGTCGTGCTCTCTGTTCAAAGTATGGGTGTCAGGATCAATTTTCCATAGCGTATCTCCAAATTTTCAGTCTCTTTTCAGGTCGAAGGCAATACGGGCGAAATCCACCGCTCTATATTCGATATTATTTCTTTGTTGTCATTCCTTCATTCATCTACGTCAGTGTACCACCAGCATTGGAAACGTTGTGGTCTGAACTCGATGTGAGTACAAAAAGCACTTGAAACACTATTTGCCATTAAAGGCAGTTGGCACGATAAATCCTTGAAGACGAGTAGGATTAATACGCCTGGCAGGACGGAATTCCGCGTCCCTGAGGAGGCGCTGCGCAGCGCCCTTTCCAAGAAGGTACCCTTATAAGGGTCCTATCAAGCTACAACATACCGACCCGAACGCCCACCACGCCCGCCCGCCCACAAATGGACGACCGTTCCTGACGCTCGTATTGATTCATTTGCTAAGCAAATTATGAAGCGAAGGGATTGGTATGAAGCGGCCGCGGTGCTGCATGGATATATGAGTACATACCGTATCTTCGGTAGCGGTTATTGGCAAGATGCCTACGGGAAACTCGTCCGAAATTGATTTTTAAGTCATTAAGAACGAAGGCTTTTCTTCGCAGGATTTTGACCGTTTCACTCCGTTCTTTCGCCATTTTCCCACCATGTAGCAGCCCTGCTCGCATTTTTGGAGTACCAAGTTATCGTGCCAACTGCCTTTAAGTTGATGGGGCAAAAAAGTGGCCTTGGTGCAAAAAAAACAAACAAATAAATGTATGAACAGCCCTAGCAAATCAAAAATAGTAAGGAATTTCTGGACCCCTAACTGGTTCTAAAAAGCTGGCCGCAATCTCAGGATGACCGCAACTGAAGCGCGTGGCGACGTCGTCGGCGACCATCGTCTCCTGCGCTCCAGAAAAATCAAGTGGATTCATTGTGCGTAGATCGAACGCCTATATCTCCACCTCCTCTGGAGCGGTACGGTTTCATAGCAAAGCTGTCCCCTTGTTCAAATTCAATACTAATGTTATTTCTTCAGGCAGTCAACGCTACGAATTCCTCGGTCCGGTCTGGACCGATTCAGTTCGTTCCAAATGATCGACATTTCAGTGCCACCGTCGCCCGCGGTGTCACGAATCTCTCGGACACCATCAACAGCACACTCGCAAAAACCCACATTGTGGGAGGGTACAATCAGTGCCTTAGCGGGTAGGTTCCAGTTTCAAAGTTTCCGGCGCGGCGCGATTACACCTCTTCATGTGTTCTCCTAAGGAAATCGGTTTTTCGCACGGAATATGCGTGAAGCCCGCTTAAAACTACTGCTGTTCGGGGCATCCATTAGTCACAGGATGCAGATGAGCAGAAATAAGGTGACACTGCCGGGCCCGCATTCCGTCAGGTAGCTGATTCGTCGCAATCAGTCGGGGCTTGTCAAGGGGTGGAATGAACCCGCCCCGGCGCTCCCCAATAGTGAGCGGTTAGTGATCGAATTAGTGAAGAAAAACCACCAAGAAGAGATACACCGGCTCCTTGCAGTGTACAAATTTGCGGCCATGAGCGTGAATATAAACGTAAACGTTTTGATAAAGAAGTATTCAAGATGAGGAGCGGCGCAGTCTCACCTCGTCCACGCCTGACGCGTCCATTTGATGGCGGGGCATGTGCTGTTTCGGGAGGTAGTTTCCCTCAGCTTGCTCCAGTGATGACGGATTTCTCACCATTTGTGAGATGAAGATGGTGGGTGAGAGGATGAAGCCTAACAGCCAACGGTGTTGCCAGCTTCCAGTGAATCTGCTCGTTGTGCGTGCGTCTGTGTCGCTGAACATAAATGATATGGTTTATACCATCACGATATGAGACTACGTAGAAGTCACACCTCCTTGCAAGGCAGTTTGCAGCGATAAAATCTCCCATGATGACTAGCCACTTTACGCCCTCTGCTGGATGGTATTGCGCGCAACCCTCGAGTGGCGCCTGCATAGCGGCTTCTCCGAGGAAAGGTGCCCTTTAAGGGCGCCTATCAAGCCAGCAACATTTCCGACGCCAAACGTCGTCAAACTATCTAAACGTCAAACTATGAGCGAAGGAGATTGTTGAAGGCTGGCCGTGATACAACTGGCATGCATATATGGGTAATGGCAGCCGTATCTTCGGTAGCGGTGATTGGTAAGATGCCTACGGGAAACTCGTCCGAAATCGATTTTCAAGTCACTGAGAACGGAGGCTTTTTCTTCGCAGGATTTTGACCGTTTCACTCCGTTCTTTCGCCATTTCCCCACTAACAGCGCCTCCTACTAGCATTTTAGGCAGAATAGGAAACCATTGTGCCAACTGCCTTTGAAGGACCCCCCCCATTTCCTTAAATCACTAATGTTTTTTTAAGGTACCAACACGCAGCTACGTCGTACGTCAACTGCCTTTACTAAAGAAGTAGATACTATGCGAAGAAAGCGACAATGCTCGTTGGAATGGGAGTTCCTTGCAACAGTTCTTGATAGGTCTGATTTTTATCAGAATACGTTATTACTACAAAAGTCCTGGCACTGTTTGACTAAGGGGGAGAGGGGCATTCTGCACTCTTCCAGGTCACGCTTCTTAGCGTGAATTTGACCTGTAGAACCTTGTCAAGTGAAGGCTTACAGGTCTCCGCCCATCCGAAAATCGCGGAAAGCGTCTATAACTTGTTTTCTCGGATCCGACTCTTTGAATGGTTGTTTAGGTTTCTACTCTTGCTGTTCATCTCAGCAGTGGTGTTGATCACGATGGGTCTGGTCGTGGTTGGTAAAATGGCACAATTTAGCTACGATCATCCAGATGAGGCATTCTTCTGAGAGCGAGTGGACACCGACTGCAGTACTAAACTTAATGTCGCAGTCTGCCTTTGATCATTAGATTCACTTTGCTTGAGGGCAGTGTTGCGCTAAGAAGTTTTGTCACTGCTCAAGTGGGAATGCAGGCTCTTAAATCCACTCGATTATTCAGCCCGCTCTCATCCTTTTGATGGTCATGATCAGCGCAATGCGGGCTCAGGAGTGGTCCGTGCGCAGTAGTCGTACTCCCATTGGTGGATAATTGCCGAGCGCTCACCCACAGAAGCGTTGTGGCGCCGAACAAAGGGTCATTTTTTTCTAAAGAGGTGAGAACGAATTTCATAGTTTTTTTTTGTAATTTTGTTTTGCGCGCATTGTATGATCGGAAGCATGTCTTGCCACATATAATCGTTTCGCTGCAGACGTTGGAGCTTCTCCCGAGGCTAGGCCTGAATAGGTGCCAGTCCGTCCTCCACCAACTGTTGAAGCGGGCAAGCGGCAACATTGGAGGAGAATGGGCTGACGTTGCGCCAAACGCCAACCCTGCCTCCTGACACGCCCCAACGTCTGCGGCGAAAACGACTATAGATCCCGGCGCAGTGCCGTTATTCAGATATTCTCCGTGTTGATGATCTCGGGTAATATAAGTGAATCGTCTATAAGAATTGTATAATTTTTAAAGTGACCTGATATCAAATCTTTTCATTTATGTATTGATTGCTTCTCAGTTTTCTCTCTGTCTATAGCGTGCTCGATATTGTTTGGCCTTCCTTCAGTCGTAGCTCGGAGGTTCGCTCATGTGGTCACTTCATCCCACTCAAGGGTACCCATGGGGCGAGGGGGGGGGGTCGCTAAGATCGTAACACAACTTCGACCAATAGTTCGATGTGCTTTCCACAATGTCCTCTTCATAGTCGAGTGGTGAACTGATCACACGGGAAGCTCTCTCAGTAAGTGCAACTAGCGGGCAGGCGACGACGCGGGCACTTGGCACTTTTGCTACGTTTTGACCCATCTAGAGAGCCATTTCTTGAGCTTTACACAGGTTCTACCGTGGTGGCTAGACGAGCTTGTCCCAGATCCACAAGTGTTTACAGGTTTCATCTGATTTGGGTTCATCTGATTGAGAGTTGTAAACAGGAACTACCGCAGCGAAGATGGTCAATGCCCCCCCGTTGCCGAACTGCGCCTGAGGGTTCTTTCAACTTTCACCTTTCCTTTCTCTTTTCTTTGAAAACGGTCCTTCTTATCCTAAAAGCTTGGTGCTACCATCAGGTAGCGCAAGAAAAACACGGAATACCGGTATTTTTAATGACTATTTTTGATTTTTTTTCAACTGTAATATTCGAAGTTCATGTCACTATTGCATTGGTTTTACTTTATTGTGTGCTTCTATTTTCAGTGTATAAATAAACTTGATAACACCTGCTGTATTTTAGTCCCCCAATGCTCTTTACCTAATCGAGTCCGAAGACTGCGGAAAAATTTTCCAAACGCCGGCAGTTCTCTCAGAAGGCGAATGTCCTCTCCCTCCTCTCAGCAACAAGCAAATACGACCCCCCCCTTATAGCTCCCGTGCAATATCTGAGGATTTGAAGGCGTTTGTGGAGACTGACCCATCCCAAACAGTTCGAGAGATTGCAGAAAAGCTAGGCTTGGCAAATCCAGTGTTGCAGATGGTCTGAAACGCATTGGGAAGGTGAAAAAACTCGATAAGTGGGTGCCCACAAGTGAGTGACCGGCAGAAATTGGCACGTCTCGAGGTTTCCTCTTCACTGCTTTTGCGCAACAGAAACGACCCGTTTTTGGACCGAATTGTCACCTGTGATGAAAAGTGGATCATGTATGATAACAGGAGACGGACAGTATTTGGACGCCGACGAACCACCGAGGCAATTTCCAAAGCCGAATCTTTACCAAAAAAAAGGTCATGGTCACAGTGTGGTGGTCATCGGCTGGTGTGATCCACTATAACTTTTTGTCACCAGGCCAAACCATCACAGCAGAGTCCTACTGTGAAGAAATCGACGAAATGTACCGAAAATTGCGTCAGCTGCAGCCAGCACTTGTCAACAGAAAGTCCGATTCTTTTGCATGACAACGCCCGCCCACACGTTTCACAAATCACTATCCATAAATTGAACGAATTGGGGGTTGAAGTTCTACCTCTCCCGCCATACTAGTCCTTTCACCAACCGACCATCACCTTTCCAAACATTTTCAGAACTTCCTTGCTGGAAAATACTTCATCAATCAGGACCAGGCAAAAAAGCCTTCGTGGATTTCGTGGATTCTCGACCACCCAGTTTTTTTCTTTGATGGGATTTCTCGACTGTGTCACACTGGCAGAGAGGGTGCTCATTCGACACTGCTTGTTTCATTAAAGACACATGGTACGCTCATACACATTGAGGGTGTATGAGACTATCAGCCCCCCAGATGTCGATGTGTCGTGGTCCCCCGCCCAAACATGCCCAGGAATGGAGATACAGGGCCGTGAAACACGCTAATTCTTCCATGCTCCGCCCACTGCCTTTTTACGGCGCAGATTCCCGCCGTTCATAACATCCGTCGTAAGCGCCTGTCGCGTGCGGCTCCTTGGCACTTTCTAAGCCATTTTAAATGCGCTCCTAAATACAAGGAAAACGCAATTTCCTGATGCGGATAACATTGGAGGTGCTACAAAATAAGAGCAGAAGATGATGACGAGGGTCAGAACCTAAAAGCAACTGTGCCACTTCTGCAACATCCCTCGGAGGCCACGTATTTCCACGAAACATGAAAATAAAACGGCATACTCGTTAGTTTAATACAAGCAAGACGCAATTTCCTGATGCGAATAAAATTTAGGTGTTGCTCATGCTTCAAAATCCATGTACAAGGAGATGAAGATGACACAGGCTAGAAATGAAGCACAACGATGTAAATGTAAACAAAACAAAAATGAAAAAATCAAGGAAAGGCAAACTAGATACAGCACTGGCCTGTAAATTTCTACGATCCGGCGCCAAAGCCATAGAAATACTTAGAACAAACGAGTGGGACGCTTGGGCTGTTTTTATTTTCATGTTTTGTGTGGGAGTGCGCTGCCCTTGATGGATACTGCAGATGGCGCCGAAGTTGCTGCTCTGAGTTCTGTCCCTTGTCATCCATCTCTGGCTATTATTTTGTAGAACCTTCGAATGTTATCCGCAATCAAGGAAATTGCGTTTTCCATCTTTTTTTATGTGGATTAAAGGACTTGGCAAAGTGCCAAGGAGCTACACCGACAGGCGCGCTTACGACGGATGTTATGAACGGCGGGAATCTGCGCCCTGTATCTCCATTCCCGGGCATGTTTGGGCGGGGGGACCACGACACATCGACATCTGGGGGGCTGATAGTCTCATACACCCTCAATGTGTATGAGCGTACTATGTGTCTTTAAGCATGAGTATTAAGAAAGTTATGATCGTTTAAAGTGAAACACTCAAAACGTCGAGAACTTTCCGGAAAAACTTAGTAAGTACACATCGCGCACGTTTTCACAAGAGAAACGTGGCAAAATGCCAGCCGCCGCTGCGTACTATTCACGTCATACTGGCATGGTCAAAGCAGGGTCACCGAAGTGAGTGTGCAGTTTGTCTTTACAAATCATGGAACAAATGAAGGATTTACGAGAAGGATTTCAGAAGGGAATGTAGGTATTTCGGAAGGAAATATAGTCAAATACTCGTAAATTATCACACGGGGAACTTGGACCACCATCGTGCTCGAAACTTTATAATTACAACTCATGTTCAGCTGTTACCATTGAATAGCATGGCTGTATGGCTCACATAGTCGAATAGCGCGAACATTTACGACCGCCATTCCACCACAGGTGGAATAATCGAGTAACACTGATAGTGTCGAAAATGATTACGCACCATATAAAAGTGCTCTACCATGGTATGCATTTCATTTTCATCCCTGTCGGCAACCATGAACCACTTCTCCTGGACTCTTCTTCTCGGCTTCCCTCGGAAGTGCCGGAGCATTCAATGACAATTCAAGAATCAACGATTTGCTAGCATCGCGACGCACCTGCTCCAACCACCACACTCGGACGCACCTCTCCACCACCACCTCCACCACCGGCACGGGGTGCACTTCCACCAATATCACTACAAGTTGACGGTTCGTTTCAGTGTTTAGCAGCTTAGGTAACGTAATCATGATCTTCCAGGAAAGCACGTTATGGACGCATTTGTCAAGCTCTAACTTGGGGAAAACTTTTGATGAACTTCAAGGAACGGATGCGCCTACACATAATGTATAAGGGTAACTTCTCAACAATCGCAGCATGTGCTGAGATCTCAGGTTGCCACTCTAACGTGCACGCGCCGGCGATCAGACAACCACATTGGTGCTTCAAATATGAATGCAAATAAGCACCGGAAAAGGGGCAGAAGAACTCGCATACGAGACACCCTGAATGAACTTCCTTGGAATTCTAAATATATACGTTTGCACGACAAAAAGAAGGCCGGTTGGGTATGTGGCAAGGGAATCGTGATTAGGCCGCGTTCATAGCTTGCGATCGTGAAGAAATGCCGAAACTGCAGAAGTGCGGAATCTGCAGAAATGCCGAAAGTGCGGAATCTGCAGAAAAGCAATAGATACGTATCGATTTGAAGAAAGTGAAGAAATGCCGAAACTGCAGAAGTGCCGAATCTGATGACGTGGCGGAAAGTTCTTCAAATCGATACGTATCTATTGCTTTTCTGCAGATTCCGCACTTTCGGCATTTCTGCAGATTCCGCACTTCTGCAGTTTCGGCATTTCTTCACGATCGCAAGCTATGAACGCGGCCTTAAGTCGTGTGCCGGTGAGCGTCGCGTGCGACGTCGCGCCCGCCAATGAAGACGATTCAGGTGATATTGGACGAGAATGGACAATGTATGATTAAAAATAGGCATAAGTGCCTACCATGTCCTTATCGACGTGAGTCCGATGCTCCAATCGAAAGTGTACTGCAAGTCAAGGAGACGTCGCGCCCG